TATATATCCTTTTTGAAATTCCATACAAACATTTTGCTTTTTTGTTTTTTGTTTGTGAATTTCAAAAGATTAAAAAGACAATATTAATAAATTATTCTTGTTAATTTCCCCAGTGCGTTACCTGAAATCTGAGCCTTTTCTTTTTCCTCGATCTGGAATCCCAGGATCTGGACACATGTTGTGTCCCTGTGCTACACCCATCTGAGACACTAAAGACAGAAAAAGGAAAAAAAAATACAAATTGTTAAACATTTTTATTTTAATTCGTTCATATTTGATTTAATGACTGTTTTATTTGGGGAACAGTCACTTACATAACTATTTATTAGAAAAATACTAAAAATGGTCATGTGTTTTAAATAATAGCAACCAAAAGGAGTGGGGGGGGTGGGGGGGGGGGGGTAAATTAATTTAAAAAAACTATTATTTTGAGTAGTGCTTACATTTAACTTTTAGCTAATGGATGTATATTTTAATTAAGCCATTTTAAAAGCAATTGTCCAAACAAAAGGGTTATAATAATACTTTCATTCAAATGCTGCCTCAGCATATACATTAGGATACATTACATACATTACTGTATTAATTACGGCAGCAGCCACATGTGTACAAAACTCTTTAGATTTATTATCTAAATCAGTGTTTTTCAACCCTGGTTCTCAGAGCACACTGCCCTGCATGTTGCATGATGTTTCCCTGCTTCAACACAGCTGATTTCAGTTGATAACTGATTAACAGGCTTTTGTTGAACTGCAGTCATCTGAATCAGGTGCATTAAAGCAGGGAATCTTCTAAAACATGCAGGGCTGTGTGCTTTGAGGTCCAGGGTTTGGAAACACAGGTCTAAATAAACTGCAAGAGCTCAAATGCTAACACGATGCTATGCTAAACCACTGCACTCTGTGCCAAACAGAGGAGGGGACGTGTCAGCAGGGGTCAGATAAACCCGACTGACGAGGTGAGTCCTGACTGACTGAGAGGGGTCAAAGGTCAGCGAGGTCTGATCGAAGAGACACCTGCGCGCCGACCTTCATCCCAGCGTGAGGGAAAACTGTCAGAAGGTCAAAGCAAGAGTCATTCATCATAATGTAAACGTTTTTTAATATTTATTAAAGCTTTGAACAAATTGGGAGGAGAAAAACAATAATCTCAATATAGGAACACAGTTTTATCATGGCTTTATATGCATAAAAAACATGTTTAGTTTTGTTTTTCCCTCTTTTTTAAACTTATAGATGATTGTAAAAAAAGAAGTAAAATCTGTATTCATTCTAAACAGCACACAAGGTATTGACAGATCTAAGAGCAGATTTACAAAGACTCTTGTCTGTCCTTAAGACAGTTTGGGTTTAATTTGTGGCGCCTGACTTATCATCAAAGCACAGCATTAAATTTGTGCCTGAGAGGTTTTAAAACAGGTAAGTTGTTTGGTTCTGTTGCACAAATATTTCTTGGATTTGTCAGACCACAATATTTAGAAATGGGTGCATTAAAGGAATGCAGTAGACTTGTTTCCTATTTCCTAACGCTAAAGGTGCACATTTTAAAGCTAGTTGGGTTATTATTTTTTAATTAAGATAAAAAATTAGACATTTTATTTTAAAGTTGAGTGTTTTAACCATCTTAACCATTTTACATCTCAAATACCTGAACAGGTGATCATGTTCATCATAACACAACCTTTTTCTTTAACAAGACACTGGCTGTGAGTGTGTTGGTGGAGGATTAAATACTCCTGATTAYCAGCATGTCAGCCTGTTGGCAGCGACGCTCTAATTTGCTCTGTTCTTAGACGGCTTCGATCATTATTGAAATGAGCTGCCTGTGCCCTTTGTTCCAAGATCACTGCAGCTTTAGGACCTCATCCACAGAACTAGATGCTTCCAGAGCGCTAATTATGAGTTACGCACTTCCCTTTTTTCCCCCCCGCTTGCCAAATCTGCCTTCTAGTCTAGTAATTAGGTGGAATTTTACATTGCGGGACTAAATATTTGATAAATATTGCTTTTGATGGGGAGAAATCTATTTGAATAAAATAAAAACTCTGGATTTTTTTTTTTTTTACAGTCGAGAAGAATCAGATTTATCTGGCAGACAGAAAACATGGAACCAAGATCAGAAAAGAGGAAAAAACAAAACAAAGTATTGTGATAAAAGCAACTGATTGCTGCTGTCAGTGTGTTATTAGAAGTGTATTTGTTCTGTTTTTAACTCATTTTGACACTTAATGATTAACACTTTTTATCAGGAAGCAGTAAAAAACAAGAAACTGAACAAGAAATAGCACAATTAAACAAGAGGTCAAACATTTAACAAATAAATATGAACAAATGACATTTCATTACTTCAGTGCAGAACTGCAAAGAATGGAGAGTTTAAGGCTAACTCCATGTCAGTAAATAGTAACTTGTTTTATTAATAATAATGAACAGATGGAGATGAGTATGCCTGATTCTGCAGTGACAACACGTCACAGATTGAATTTATTGGATCTCTGAGAAACCATCAAAAAGTCTATTTATGCTCTGGTGGAAACATATATCAGGTCAAACATGTTGGTTTACAGCAGCATCAAACATTCACTAACAGATGACAAGGCTTTTAACTTCTATTTATTATCGCTGGTCACGTTGTTTTAATTTACAGTCAGAGTGTCACAACCCCTCTATAGTTTTCATACTTACATTCTAAAAATAAAAACGACCGCATATAAATGTGAAATACTGAGAGCTTCTCAGCAGGTAAGGGCTAGCAAGGGAAGCTGAAGATTGCACTGATTATTTGACTTTTAAAAAAAATTATGATGACTTTTAAATCTCTTTTAAAAACATTTTATTATGAGATGGCTTTTAATTGTTGATTTTTGCATGTTTTATTTTTATTTGTGCTATGTTCCTTATGAGTTTTGGTTTTACTAAATGATGTAAAGCACTTTGTAACTGGGTTTTGAAAGGTGCTATACAAATAAATGTATTATTATTATTATTATTATTATTATGTGGCATAACCTTAGAAATAAACCTTAAATAGTACACTGATTTGTTGCTTTTACACTTTTTTTGGTTTATTTTGTTACATAAAAAGGTCCAGTTTTCGGAACCTAAAGTACAAAAAAAATGACACCTGAAGGTTATCTAATGACCCTTTTTAGGTCTATTCTTGTACCTTTATTTTTTTACAGTGCACATCTCACTGCAGACATTTGCAATCATTTTTTCCCCCACACAGCTGAACTGAATCATCCAGGCAGGCTTTGTTTGGTGCAACACATTTAAATAGTATTTTCCTCTGCACCGTCTCTGTCACGGCTCTTAGCAAGATGCAGTTAAACAAAACGTGCGTCCACTTTGATGGGAGCGCTGATCACCTGTGACTGATGTAATTATCATCTGGTACCTTGGACCCGTCCCACATTTTTGTACCACACTTGTCATGGCACAATGACATTTACTGTTATGCCTTCGTGAAACAATCAAGACAGATTTTATTTTTGTTCTTTGTTTTGTTTTTCTGAGAAAACTGGGGTTTGATTTTGCCAAAGCAAAACAGGTGATCATGTCATCCTTCAGTTCCACTTAAGAAGAAAGATTGCTGGATTTTGAGTGATGCACTATGAATGAGCCGTGTTAGGTGACATGAATGTTATACATCTATATTTAGAAATTACATGTATTGTTGAATCATTTAAATAATTGTAATTGACAAGTGGAACTTGAGAGTTCATTCAGAGAGTTTGTTTATTTTTGCTTTGGGTTTATAAATACAAAAAAATCAATCAGTCAGTCCGAATGATAGCTTTCTTATCCTGACTGGGCTTTCCTGAAAGCAGACAGGAAACACAGACAGGACTCCATGCAACCTTCAGGTGAAAATGAAGACCCCAAACCCAGACCCAAACCAGTGGTTATTCCGTATGTTGCGGGTGTTTCGGAGAAACTGAGACATTTATTTTCTAAACATGATGTCCCAGTAGCTTTCAAACCCCAAAACACATTACGGCAAAGGCTGGTTCACCCCAAAGATCCGGTGCCCCGGCACAAACAGAGCAATGTTGTATATGCTGTTAAGTGCCAGGAGGACTGCGACCAGTTATACATCGGGGAAACAAAGCAGCCACTGTTCAATAGAATGTCCCAACACAGACGAGCTACATCTAATGGCCAGAACTCTGCAGTTTTCACTCATTTACAGGCCAGCGGTCACTCTTTCAGAGATGAGGATGTTCTCATTCTTGATAGGGAGGAACGTTGGTTTGAGAGAGGAGTAAAAGAAGCCATTTTTGTGAAGAAAGACCGTCCATCATTAAACAGAGGTGGAAGCCTCCGTTTTCAGTTGTCCCCCTCCTACAGCGCTGCTATTGCCAGTTTCACTCCACCCCCTGTTAACAATAAGTGTTAATTAGGTGTCAATGATAGCCATGTGATGTGAGTATCAGTCACATGGAGGCAGGGCTTAAAAGCCTGAATTTTGCCTGAAACTCTCAGACTGAAGAAGTCTCTTGGAGGAGAGACGAAACGTTTCATTAGAGAAGAACCCGTCCAGAAGACCTATACATTTTTTTTCTTTTTGATTTTTTACCTGGATTACTGAGATGCATCAGGACAGCTTTCTTATTGCTTCATTTTGAGGCTTAAATGCAGTTGCCATAGTTACTTATAGGTTAATGCAGACCTAAATTTAGAGTCAAGCTGTACGGGCAATAAGTGGACATCTGATGCCATGACAAGACTGTTTTTTTTAATTTTATTTTCCATTTTAAGGTGCAAACTTAGAAAAATCATCCCTCCCTACCACGCTCCACAGATTAAACATTACACTTTTACCCTGGAGACCAATCAAAGTGTGAATCAAGCTGATAATAATAACTCCATGGTCATTACTCTGATTGCATCCAACAGTTTGTGGGTTTAGTTAAAAGAAATACATAATGTTTGCAACTTACACACTGATAGCTTATGGTGGTTGTCTTTGCTCGGCAGCATCTTCACACCTCGAGATTTGAGTTCAGTCATTTTCTTCACTGGAGAGAAAACAGAGCAAAGACGGGTGAAAACAGGAGCAGGAAGTCCGGACACCAACATCATCACCTGGTGGCCTTCAGTCTGTACGTCCTACTTTTCACGCTGTACAACAAAGGTGCAACAAATTGGCCAAAAATTTAATAAAAAGCAAAAACATGCAAAAAAAAAAGATTTCACCTTTACATTAGTTACACTTATTTTACTTTAAAAATATCCTGCCTTTGTGTGTTATTTTGTTAGGGTTTTTTTTTTTGTTTTTGTTTTGTTTTTCTACCATAAAATACTATTTGGTGTACATAAGCAATATACAACATTTTTACATTCTTGGAGAGTGGATATGCCTGAATATACAAGCTTTAAACATATTATAAAGAACAAAAGTACAGTTTTTTTCTCGTAACAAAAAGATGGATTTTGACAGAGGTTGATAACAGCAGTCAAAATATAAGATAAGAAAATAAAAGGAAATTCAAAAGACCTAAATTTATTCATCATTTAAAAAAAATACCCAGAACAATATCAAAGATCTTATTTAAATGTTTTGACTGTGACAATAAGTCCTAGTTTGTTTTTGAAAAGACTTTTCATCCTTTGCTCAGTTTCAGCTGAATTCATAATTCAAAGCTGATCTCAGTGTCAAAAAGTCAGCGTGTGATGAGTCTGGTAAAATAAAAGAAATGGCAATTAGGAAGTCTCTTTTAGATCCGACTACAAAAAAAAAAAAAAAAACTGAGGGGAAAAATGATTTTATAATTTCATTATTTTTAAATGAGCTTTTTTAAGGGGAGAACTGAACTCTTGGTACGTTTTGAAGCAAAGTGGCTGCTTTTTAGACAACAATAAATTAAATCTAACAGGAAAAAATAAGATTTAGAAACAATATTCCACACATGTATTAGAGCTGTTTATATGAACAGTCATAATAAGAATGGATTATCTGGATAAAACAAAAAAGGCATGAGCACTCATTTTCAGTGACTTCTGCGGAGTCTGTTAAACAAATGAAAAATGTACGAGAACTGCTCCAAATTTAGAAAGTTCCAAAATATGACAGAAGTCTCTGCTTTTATGACTGGCATTTGATCCTGACAGACACTGACAGAGAGATTTGTTATGTACTAAAAGGAACATGTTACATATTGCAGCATTTCCAGACTAGTTATCTTTACAACTGTAAGCCATTTACTGTGATGCATGATTGATTCCAGCCTGTTAAATAAGTCAGTTTGCATCAAACTGCCCCCCCACACTTTTTTATTTGACAGCACTGATACTGATCTCATTATATTTTCTTCAATGTGGGAGCTAAGCAGATACCTCACAGGCATCAGTAAAAACTGCTATTGTGTAAAAACAAGCTCGTTTTTCTTGACGAAGACAGTGAGGAAGAAAAAAATGAAGCTGAAGAAGAACCATTTTCAACCTGAAACTTGAGTCCTTTTTTTTTTAAGTTGGACAAAATATAATGCATCATACATTTTGACAAACTTTTTTTTCAATTTATTGTTTAATTTCTAAGTTAAGTTTGAATAAAAGTTTAACCCTGGCACTTTTTTATTATTTATATTTTCAAATCATCTGAATGTTGAGAAATAATAATTAAAAAAAATTATAGGAGGGTATTATGCATTTTCCAGGCATTATAGCCTGAACATGATAAAATTGGCCTCTGTCTCTTTAAGAACCTCCTACCGTTTCTGAGACTCCCACTTCAGCACATTAAGACAACAGTGTTTTGGGGGAGGGGTGCTCTGTCGGGTGGGAGCTTGGCTGCAGTCTGAGCTTTGGGAGGAGCTTTGTGCAAATAGGCGGTGCTTTGTACCAGCAGGTGTTTAGGCAGCTCCACATGCTAACCGTAGATAATTGGAAGATTTCTCAAAAACGCATGAATGAATCAAAGCAACACAATTTGTTGAGGGAATGACATAAAGCTCAAAAAAGTGGATTTTGCATTACCCTTATGTTTATGGATACCTTGTTGGAAATTACAGCACAACTGTAAGCTTTATTTAGATGTGGTAGTCAAAATGCCAACTATTTTTTTTTCCTGTGACAAACTTTTTTAAAAATAAATAATTTCAGTCAACAAAGACAAACATTTTCGGTGTTTAAGTGCACTGATTTATTTTGTGTGTTAAATAAGAAAGCTCGCATAGACAAGATCTTGGTCTTTTGTTTCCATCTGATCCTCTAAATATAATTATCTAACACTGAAATAAAGATTTTGTCTCCTTTAGGCATACTTTCTCCATTTTCTTTCTTTCTTTTAATTCTCCCTTTGGACTCTCTTTTCCCAATAACTTGCCTGTGGATAGCTGGAGGTAAGATCCTTAAAGATGATCATTTTAGTCGACAAACTAATCCTTCCGCCAGCTCATCCTCTCTCAGAGGTGACCCCTGAACTGCTGAGAGTTTTGGGGAACAAAACGGATGCCTGCTACAAAAAGGATTTTGTGGATGTGTCTTTACAGATCTTTGTAAGATGTTGTTGCTTTTCTTTCGAATGCTCCCTTCTTCCAGGGTCACGGAGAGCAAACTTGGACAGATGATTTAGAACATGTTTTATACCAGATGCACTTCCATAAACCAGGCTCAATCTCACAACGTCAAGATTATGAGACTGCAGCATTGACCACAGATGTTTTGGGCCTGTGTAAGTGTAAATAAAAGATAAAATAGCCTTTTTTTTTCAAAACTATCTCAAAGTCTTGGTAACTTTTGTTTTAAAAAAACTGATGTATTAATAATTAATTTTAAATTAGGCTCATAGGTGCCACATAAATACTTTCAACATGATGGGATCTGCCTTTTTAACAGCTTCTGGGAATCATTTTATGATGATAAATTACAAGAAGTTCATATTTGCAAATATAGCATGAGTACATGAGCCTTTTCACTGCTTCGTAGTAGTTTACATATCATCCCACTGAAATATGAAAAATCCACCAGGCATAACTAAGTACAAAAGGTTATAATGCCATACTTAATGAGCAGGGAGTTGTTTGTATTTTTTCCACAAAAAATATTTACACAATTGTGAAAAGTTCAGAACCTATCTTTGAAAAATATTTTGTCTAAAATATGTACATTTTGCCAAATTGATGTAAGTACACACACACACACACACACGTGTATATTATAAGACATTTATGCATTTTAATTCATTTTCAAGTACACACACACTTGAAATATTAATTTTATTATTTTAAATATCTAAGAC